CATAAAAGAAACAAGGTCATTATTTCTATGTGTTGGGTAGACTTGTAGTCCCTTTACTTTATCATCCATATTGGTTCTTAGCTTTCACCCTCGATTGTGTCATTTTTTCTTATTAAGTTCATTACAATTTCTTCTCCCTTTACTTGCTTTATGCCATACCCTGAGGTGCTGTGAAGAAATCTCAGGTGCTTTATATCTTCATTTTTAGGACTCTTAGGTACATTATATCTTTATTTTGTGTAAATGTTATGCACATTCAACTACCATTATATTGGTCTTTATGCTTTCAAATCAACTACCTTTGAATACCCTACCACAATACGACAAAGCAACAAATATTATAGATGTAATGCATTTTCCTGTTCAAACAGAAGGAACTTTAAAATTTGCACATGCTAAAATAAGCATTTTTATCTTGGTATATGTTATGGAGACATGGCATAACATTTGTGTCCTCTAATGTTTCTTTTTACAGTATTAGCATCGGGCTACTGTTGTCAACTCAAGTACGTGAAGTTCCACCGACTCTTTTAGCCCATCTAAACATGCAACATACGTGGAGCAATTTTCCCCCTATTCATTTATTATTTTATTATAGATATTAATACGACCTTACTTGAACAGGATTTGTTCTATAAGTTGTACCTTTAAATTCTATATTCTAAAGAGATATTGAATACTTCCCCATTCATTACTACAATACTTTCTTTTATTATAAATATTAACTCTCTGATGTCCAGTCACCCTTTTCTCCTGTTAGCCAAGAAAATCTTGATCCGACAGTCTTAGCTCTTTGCAGTAGCTGAAGAACTTTGCAAGAATAGTGGTGAGTGTTCATTTTTCTTGAAAAAAAATACTTCATTGCTAGCAGAAGTTTCAGTGTTTGTAGCTGTTTGATTAAACCACCGAGTTTTTTGAATTTGAGCTTGATTTGATAATTCGGTGGTTAAAGCAATGATGTTCCTGTGGATGTTTGATTTGGATCTTGATAGAATTTGCAGTTCTGGTAGTTTTAGATGTAAATTTGATGTCAGAGTTAATTTTTATGTGATGCTATTCAAGGGAATTAACTGAGTATAATGATCTGATTGAGCTTAACAACTCCAATTTCAAGAGTTTAACATTTCGTTGGATCTGTTATTCATGCTTTAGAATTGATGCAATTTTCAACGCGATTATAATATACTAAGTGATTTTCAACGCTCATCATCGGTCATTTAGAAACTGTAGTTTTATGTTTTAAAGATAAGGGGTATTACATCCGACCCTCTTTACTCTGTGGTGGGTGGGAGTCTTTGAGGCACCTGCATAATGTTGTTATATTTTATTATGAGATATTATTGATGTTGAGGTCACTTTTGGCC